CCCCCCCCGCGGCTGACTTTCGTGATCTTTTGAGGTTGTAGCGGCACGTCGTCTCTTTCCAACTCATGAAAGTGATATCAGCAATATCTCACATATGCTCCCTTACCTTTGCCATTGCACTACCTGGCTTTAAGGTCCCCTGACGTCCCAAACCGCATCGCTGCTTTGGATCAGAGACTAGCTAATCGTCTATTGGCGACGCCGCCACCGAAATATTCACTCATTCATCATCAAGGCGAGGTAAAAGCGCATACACCAACACATCACACCTGTCCAGCTTTTACCTTAACTCGAAACTCGAAAGCTTAACTCGAAGGTAACTCTGCAACGAAACATAGACGTCATGCTTCTGTAACGGGGTTACACGTGTCCTTGTGAAAAAGGACGGACCACAAGATTGTGCGACGGTACATAAGTGTGTAATAAAACAATTAGTGTAATTTTGGCTACACCGTAATAAGAAGCCACCACGTGGCAGGATTACCAGTAGTAATGCATATTTTTGTATTTATTAGGTATTACTATATTGTTAAGGATAACCAAGGGTTTTAGATGTTGGCGGCTCTGCCGCAACTAAAACAATTTAATACAGTTTCGTTTCTGAACAGAAGTGTTCGTTTGCCTTGGTAAGGCTTTAGTACTTAGAAGTAGCGAATTGCGATCCGCTACACTTGTACTAGTTCTTTGAAAGGTGGTCTTAGCTTAGCTTTCTCTGAGCTAGGCGCTACGGCAGACCCGCTGCACCTGGTAACATTCGTCGTTAATCTACGCCTGAGCCGTTAAGACTGATCCTCTGTGAGAATAGAGGAATACTCCTATTTGCCCCAGGGTATGCAGGACGGTCTTGATAAGCTGAGGTCCACGTTAGGCCCCAAGGACCGTGAAACACCTCGTTGCGCAAAGGCCCGAGACCATAAGCGCGCGCCGAGAGGCGTTTTCACACTATGGAAATGCTCTTCTAGAGCACTTACAGCAGATGCTGTAGCGTCGACTGCATCTATGACGCCACCGTCGACGACGGAGGAATCCTTTCGACCAAGGCCGCTTATGGCGAGCGTTAAGACCCTAAAAGGTAAGGATGGCATGAATCTTCTTCTCTGGGTGAGAAAGGCTGAGATGGCTATGGCATCCGCCATGCTCCAGACGAGCAACCGCGCGAGGCGCTAGATATCTCCAAGCCCGGGGGGCCGAGCGCGAGAATGGGCACTAACGTGCGGTACTTCGGCTGAAGCTGCGTTCTCATCCTAGAAGGAGCTGAAGCATCAGCATCTGTGAGTGTTCTCGCCGCGTAATCAGGCGCATTGTGTGAGATCGCGTTTCCTTGCTGTCCGACAGGGCAAAAAAGAGTTAGTGGACTTTGTCCAAGAGTTATAAGCACTCATTGCCGGGATGGCAGCTGATCTTCTCAACGAGCGGTCGCAGTGACCGCTTTATGGATTGCCTTCGCACACGCGTGACCAGACTGAAAGTCTTCCGTGTGCATCTGTCTACTTTTGCAGAAGCGGTGAATATGACATTAAATCCCAAATTCAGCTTCAGGTCGGTACGACTTAATTAAAATGCACAATCTCTGATCTTGTCGAGCGGGCCAGAGCCAATTGATCTCAGCTATGCTGAGAAGGAGGAGGGAGAGCTCCGAGCAGCTGGACAGCGTGTAAATACCCTACGGTGTTTTTTGTTTGTGGAGACACGCGTTGCCTCAGTCGGGTCGTCCCTTGCGCAAGGGGCGTAATAATTCGTCGACTCGACGTCCCGCTTTTTACCAATCTGGTTTTGACGTGAGGAAACAAAACACCCAGTAGGCGCTGGGCGCCCTTCTGGGGGAGAGCTGAGTTCTGTTTAGCCTCAAAGAAGAAGAGGGCAGCAGGGTCCAGCCCCGAAGGGCTGCGTGCTCTTGAACACGGAACGTGTGAGCAAGCCGGGCTTGCTGGTCGTAAGAAGCGACCGTAAAGGGCTTTGATAAACCATAGAAATCTTTTATCGATACTGGTGCGTTGGGCAGTTATGTTCGACGCTTCACGATTGAAGGAGGTCAGTTGTATGCTGAGGCGCTGGAAGCCCGGTTGAGTGACACCGTCACGATTCGCTAAGCGACGGGAATTTGTGTCACTGTGCCGAGGACCTGTGAACCTCGGTGTCAAGTTCCTTGACTATGATAGCGTGAAACCTTGTCCAGTTTCAGACTTGGATGCAAGATATTACCTCGCTCTTGGTATGGCATAGTTGAAACGCTATGTGCCATGGATTAATTGGAGGTCAAAGACCTGCACAGTAGCATCGATATTTGTTGAATATAACGGTTTGTTGTACGTAGGCTAACCTAGATTTGTCTAGGGTACTGTACTACAGGTAGTTCCTAAAAAACCAAGGTATACTTCCCCGCAGCTCTAAGACGGCGAGACCTAAACACAATCTTATTGGTGTGGAGAAATGACCCATATTGGTGCGTGATCTACCAAAAACCCTGCTTCCCAATAAAGCAGCCTAGAAGTGATATTTGCGGCGGCAAAGTCAAGGATCTTATTCAAACGCTTACACTCGAGCACCGCTCACAAGTGCTTAATGTGGTTTTCACATCCGACTTCCCCTGCTCTGTACAAATATAGACGGATATAAAAGCAAAAAGACATGTTCATAGAAACGATGTAGCTTAAACAGCTACATTACTCAACCGCTAGACGTTGTTGGTGCATCAGACAGTCCTCATGACATTAGCAGCCACTTCCAGAATGTACCGCTTGGAGTACTCGGCGCAATAAGAGGGATATCGCATAGATGTTCATCAACCAAGTTGAGGGCGTTAAATAAGTTGTAGCCAATCGTGCTGCAGTACATTCTTCCTACGATTCAGCGTTTGGCCAAAACCGCCGCTGCATGCGGCATATCTTAGGCATACGCAATATGCCGCTGGCCGTTAGCCTGATTGACGCCGAAAATTGGCAGCGAGTGGGCAGATTCACTACTTCTTTCTAATCATTACCCCTTGACTACACAAAAGAAAAGCTTCAATGGCGTATAACCGCTCTTTTTGCCTAAAGTCCATAAGCAGGTACAACCATACTTCGTTTTGGAAACCAAGTAAATATCACGCAGCACTCCCTGCTCTGGGAACAGCACGCGTGGTAGATCTCTTATTAACGTTTCAGGTGTTCCATTCTTTCATAAATGACAGAAAGGATGCGTATCATCCTTGATATATCTGTCCCGCTTCTTGCACTCAGTACTCGGTGAGTGTACATGACTTATTTCATCCATTATATTTCTTCGATATTAGCCGTACCAATTTGGTGACTTTACAGTCTGACAATCTCTACACAAATCTTCGATTGATATATATTTGTCAGTCAGCAAGATCTTTTGTCGGAGGTAGTGAGATACTGAATAAGCTTTTCGTAACATACCATTGGAGCTTCTCTGCTACGCAAACACTGTTATGCTGACTCAGCAAATCGTCACAACGCAACGGAGAGGAAACATCCGTTTCAGCTCCGGGGTGTATCCTATCTTCTCGTGACATTCAGAGGCAATTCGCTTCTACTTCTTCTGGCCGAAGAGACGGCAGCTCTAAGTGATTCTCCCGCGTCCCGCCAGGGATACACTCTGTGGATCACTATACACAGCCTTCCTTCTCGTCTCAACAGCAATACGCTTTAATAACGCAAAATACATTAAGCTATTTCCGTCTCATCCCGGGAGCTCGGCTTACTGCCGCATCTGCCTTCTGACAGAGGAACTCATCAAAGAACAAAGTGAGCGGCACCTGGTTTTTAGTTTATGCTCACTCGTGGTTTATGAAGCTTTCACCATGCCATACGCTGTATCATAACTTTTCGCAACTTCATGGACCCCGGAACTTTGATGCCAACACTGTGAGTCCCACCTCTTTTAGAAAGATTTGCTCCTTTTAGAGAAGGATACCATAAAACTCACGAGGTACAATAGGATCCAGTGTTTTTGTGCGCCTATTGGGAGTCGATGTTGTCTGCCAGGGCTTTACCGACCGCCCTTGCGTGATAGCTTGACCCTCCATGCCTTTCAGCCAAGAGCTTAGGGGGTACACGGGGCACTGGTGTATAGCATTCCCGCAGATGAATATCTGGGAGTGCTCATCAGCTAAGAGCTGCCTCGTTTTCTCCTCAGCATTACTGAGGCCATCATTCTTTTGCGCTCATAGGGCTTCAGCTTTTAGCACTTCATCCACCTTCGCAGCACGAGCGAGGTTTGTACTCCGCATTGAATGCTATCCCACTGCATTTCTGAAAGAGGGATGGTGGCGTTGAGAGTTTTCGGTGCAAGCCACACCAACTTCATCAAGATGGGAATAGTTACCGCCTTGAATGTAGAATTTCAAGCCATCGCGGCGTTAAGAATTTCTCTCTCCCGGGCACAACCCGCCAGCTCTCAGCTCCCGGACATATGGTCAAAAGCTTATGTAATGCAAACACTTACGACTTGTTAACAAAGAATGACTAATCCTTAGAGACACGTTAGTTTAATGTTCATTTTTGCGCACGCCTCCTACTTGGAGACTGCAAACGCAAGATGCTGTGGCCCCGCTTAGAGCATGACCGGATCTCACCCAGAGAAAAACAATTTTCCGTCCCGAACACGATAGGCATAGACGCTCAGTATCAGCGACCTCATGTAGGAACCATTTGTTCCCTCACAGATCTCCGGTTAGAGTGCCTCACCAGCGATATTTTAAAACTGGTGAGCGCTATCAGGCAAGCAATCACCGTCAACACTGTGTACGGTCCTTCAGGAGTAAATGCCTGGATCCCGTCAGACGTGCCGCGACAATAGGATACAAGGCATCTCAGAGACAGGTACTCAAACTAAAATTTCCGTCCTCACAAAGGATACAGTCTTTTCACGAATCGGTCATCGGATTGACAAGTGCTATTAAGTACAACAGTATTGCCATGAACTCAAAGAGCCCAAGTAAACAAACGCACAGAATTTGGGTTTGTGCGCTTCTACCAGAGGCAGAACCGAGATCTTTCAAAAAATTTACTACGTCAGAGTATGTATAATTTGGATCACATTTTTTACTTAATACTATATCAACGTGTACTATTTCTCATGATGAAATTTGAAGTTCCGCAATTTTCATAGATATCGATATTTACTATCACACCCAACGTAATCCCATTATCTTTATCTGTACCGGTATATGGGTATTTCTGAATGGTGACAATCTTACAAATGTGTAATGTGAGCTCGAAATAATGGTGCAATATTGTATTTGCACAGAGAAATACAAAATGCCAATGCATCGAAATGTCAGCAGCATTATTAGTGTCCATAAACGACATTAGCAATTGAACAAAGTCAATATCACGTAACATTGCATTGCAACTCAAGCGTAAATGCTGATCTATCTCTTTCGTCGCACCAGCAAAAGCGTTTTGCGCTCAAGAAGTGTAACTGCACAAGGAACTAGTGCTGCTGCTTCTATTCACTGTACTGCTATAAATTTCGTGGAGATCCGTCAGGTGTCAGGTCACTCCTACTCTTTCCACACATTATCGAAATCGACGGCGGTACCAATGCGGACCATCCCGCTCCGACGGTGTTTCGCATCTACTAGTGACGATTCTTTTGCATCTTTAGCTGAACAAACAGATCGTGAAATTACTACAATACGCAATGTAGTGTTTGCGACACGCAATATGCAAGAACTTGTCGCGTTGCGCGAAAAAGCCGCAGCCCCAAACCTTTGGGATGACGCCATCAGTGCCGCGTCTGTAGTACAACGCTTGGCTTTGCTTGAATCACAGACAACTCGTGTCGATGAGCTGCTTCGACAATTCTTAGATACCAAGGAACTTCATGTACTAGCGGTAGAAGAGAGAGATGAGCCGATGCTTCGGGATTGCATCGTTGGAATGGCATCAATCCGGGCAAAGACACAGCAGCTTCAGCTTGACGTATTACTTTCGCATGAAAGTGATGCCTGTTCTTGCTTTGTAGAGATTCAAGCAGGGGCAGGAGGTATTGATAGCTGCGACTGGACGGCTATGCTAGCAAGAATGTACACTCGCTGGGGTGAGGCGCGTGGATTCCAAGTGCGATATGTTGATGAAGCTCCTGGAGAAGAGGCCTTTTTTCGATCTGTTATGTTAAGATTGGACGGTGAGTATGCTTATGGCTGGGCTAGAAGTGAGGCTGGTGTGCATCGCCTCGTGCGCATTTCTCCGTTTGACAGTGCTGGAAGAAGACATACATCGTTTGCGCAAGTGCGTGTGTACCCCATAGCTGCCGAAGCTCGACTTGACGAAAAGATGGAGCTCTCGATCAAGAACTTACGTGTTGACACGTTTCGGTCGTCGGGTCCTGGTGGACAACATGTGAACAGTACCGATAGCGCCATTCGAATCACGCACTTGCCGACAGGACTAGTAGTTCAGTGCCAATCGGACCGATCGCAGCACAAAAACAAAGCCGAAGCAATGACAATGCTTCGCTCAAGACTTTATCAGCGAAATTTGGAAGAAGAAGCGCGAAAAAGACAACAATTTACAAAAGGATTGGGAGAAAACGCTTGGGGCAACCAGATTCGATCATACATATTGAACCCGTATCAACTTGTGAAAGATCATCGTACCAACTACTCGGAAAGCAACACGGCTCGAGTCCTCGATGGCGATATCAACAAATTTATTGAAAAGATGCTTCTCCACAAGCTAACTTGAATGCGTCCACATAAGCCAAAGTAAGATTTATGAAGTACTTCGAAGTTGTAGCTATAAGTCTCTAACTCTCTGCGATTGATTGCCAGACATAAATTTATCCGCCACAAGAAAGGAATGTCGTTCTTGGCCATGATGACAATTAAGCGCATAAGACTTTGTTTGATGTCGAGATGCAGCATTTTCCGCAACTCGTCGGGCAATCTCTAATAGCAACACATCGTGCTGCGTCGACGAGATAACATCGGTGTGCTCAGCCCAATCTAGAACCTCACCAATCTTCTTCGTCACCATATCACGCTCCCCTAATGTACGGTTTAGCATCAAAGCTTGCTGAAGAAAGGATATTCTCACTACACTTGGAATTTGCAGCCATGGTTCACCATCAATTTGAACCGGTAACGTCTCGTTCAAAGTAAGACACACCGACTTTGCTTGACATAGACGCTCAGCCTTCGACAATCCTACTTGCATTTTCCCTAGGTGAAGCGTGCCATATACTGCTACGACATCCAGCAATCTGTCATTGAGTGAAGACGAGCCTAAGTGCGCGGTAGTCTTGAAGCTGTCAACACTGCTTGTTCGACTTCGATTATTAATCTTACCTGCCAAGTTGGAGTCTTCGTCGTCAGAGTCATCGTGCCAAAGTTTGGAGCCGCCACCGTAACTATTAATGTTTAGCAAGATGATGCCCTCTGCTCCTACTGGAATCTTGATAAGCTTTTCATCGCACACAAGACTAACCTTTTTGGATAGACCAGCACATGTACGGACAAGGAAGTTCTTCGCACCAAACTGACTGTACCACAATTTATTTACAAACTGACTCACAAACAATCCAGGTGATCGCTCACGCTGTTTGTGGAACTCAAGTGCTACTTGCGCGTCAACACCAATACCCATGTAATTGTTCATCACAATACGTTTTGACGCCTCGCCCACGTCCACCTGCCATCGATCTAAAAGACTCAAATGAGCTGCCTCCACTTCGCTAAGTATTTCACTAACGTCTGTTGAAGCTGACAATCCAGTACACCAGCCAAGCACGCGTGCCAAATCATTTCCCGTTCCTAATGGTAAAATAGCGATTGGCGGCTGGCGCTTAACTTTGATCTCATCGAGCGCACTTAACACCCAACCCACAGTTCCGTCACCACCACAAACTAGAAGCCGAAGCCGAGGGAGTTTAATGAACAGACGCAAGGGTTTAATCGGGCTTTGATGTGAAAGATCGTATACTTGCACTGGATTGAGCCAAGTTCGCATTTGACGCAAGACGTGCAAACCCAATTTGCCACCACTTCGACTGTTAATAAAAACTAAAAGTGGAGTGACCTCTTTAGGGGTCTCGACCAGATGATATGGAGGATCCAACATAGTCGACCCATTTCCACTTACGACTGCAGCATCACTGCGCAGTTTTCTTGGTGAAAGAGTGGCATCGCTGATCCCGCGTCGAAGTCGAATTTTTGACATCTTTGTGACTGCACAATGAGCTGCGCTGCGAACCGAGTTAAGTGCGCATTGTGACTTGCTGCTGATTGAGACAAGCTCATGTATAATGACACAAGATGGAGGCACAATGAGGCGCGCATGTTTACCGAAGTCACAGCGACGCAAATGCGGGGGCTTATGAATGCTGGCCATCGCCCGCTGAAAGCACTCTTCGTGCACACGAACATGACACCAGGCACACTTCAGTCCAGAAAGTGCTAAGATACTTCCACATAATAGGCCGCACAGTAAACATGAGTCCATAGGGTCAATATTGCCCTTCACCCACATGTGTCGGAAATGTTGTGTCGCTACCCTACTCGGCGAAGGCAACCCGGATACTCCAGGTGCTCTGCAAGTCCATGGAGATGGAGTTGGCAGTGCAGCAACGTCACGCGAAGGTCCGCTTAAACCTCTATAGTTCTTTGTGTTGGCTGCGCATTGTGCGTGAGCGTGCATGCCGCAGATATCGCACTTGACAACATAGCTTCGGATGCCGTAGACGATGGATTCGCACACATTACACCATTGTGGGCTACAGAAGGAGAACAAAGTAGCGTGAGTTTCGGAAATAAAGACCGCAAAACAGAAAACGCACCCTGCAAGATTACCAGGTCTCCACTGGTGCTGACCTAAGACGTACGGACCGTCACGGAAGCTGCGCAACGTGAGAAAGAAGAGAGACTTGCGCACGCAAAGAAAGAAAACGAAAACCAATACAAGACCCACGAATGTGTAGCCAGTCCAATTAAATAGCGTCACGGCCTCATGAAGCTCTGGAATCGGGTCCATTTATGCAAGTTGTAAGGAAAAGACACTTTTATCATAATAGAAGTCTTTTCTTTATTTTGAAGAAGTGGAATATCATCAATGTAAAAGATAAATATTTGTCTGACAGATTTATAAAAGATTTTGTAGTCATAAAATCAGGAATTACCACAAAAAGATTAAGAAATCGTAACTATCCGAGACGTTTTAAGCAAATTAATTGTGGAAAAAAGATCAAGAACTTTCTAAGCCGATAGCTTCTTGGCTACGACAGCAAAAGACTCACCTTGCGCTTTCGCCACGTCAAGCTCAAGCTGAGTAGGTTGGCGAGCACCAGATGGACCGGCAAATGTACCAGCACCCCATGGGGAACCACCATGAATCTCATCCATGTTCAAGAGATGTTTGCTGCGGTAGCCCAGCGGAACGAATGTCATGCCCTGGTGTGTGAGGAAGGTCAATGTAGTAAAAGCAGTAGTTTCTTGACCGCCACCCATGGTGCCCGTGCTGAAAAAGATCCCCGCAGGCTTGCCAACTAGTGCGCCAGCGGCCCAAAGACCTCCACAAGCGTCAAATAAGGCCTTTACCTGTGCAGGAACCAAACCGAAGCGTGTAGGAATGCCGAAAAGGATACCGTTTGCCTCCTTTAGTACATCCGGGGTAGCAATAGGGTGGTCTTTTTTGGACGGGGCATGCATTTTGCTAAGGGTCTCGTCAGAAAGCGTTTCCTCAACTTGGTAAATCTCGGCTGTGACGCCGTCAACCGACTCGACGCCGGATTTCACGGACTCCGCCATCGTGGCGATGTGGCCGTACATCGAGTAGTAAATGATAGCAATCTTGGTCATTTTAGTGGTTTACAAATAAAACTTGGGAGTATTTGTGTTTGACGGAGAAGATTGAGAAGTGGGTTCGGAAACGTTTTTTTCTCAAAAGTGATTTATAACAATCGGTCTTTTTATGAACTTTCTAGGCTTGCAAAAGTTACGAGCGCTTTCCGAATATTTTCATTCGCATAAATGCTGATCTGATGATATATGAGCTAAAAGAACTTGCGGAATGGCGTTGAAGAAATATCTGTAGCCATGGAGCTAATTCATTGGTCAGGTCACACTGATCATTGCCGTTTGACACCCCCTTGCATTGTCGTTATGAAACGTGTTCATGCGACCTGTCAATTCACGTCCTATAATTCATCACAACTTCGCCGCGAAAGTTTCGAATACTTGCACTGCTCGGTGCAAAGCAATTATATTCCTACTATCATCAGCAAGACGATTTGATATTGTTCACGGAAGTCAAGAGCACTGCCTAACATTCAACGGTTTCAGAATTTTAACGGCGTCGTAATGAGCTGAGCTAAATAGCTGATCATTAAATATGGAAATACCATGTTAACATACAGCAAATCACAAAAAATTACATAAATGCAGCTAGCAAGTATCTAGAGTTTCGCTTCAGTCGCCGTATGTAAAGCCTAAGATAAGGTTTGTTTGATAATCGCTTCATTTTTGTCTTGCTCAATCAAGTTACAAACCGAGATACTCTAAACGTTTATTGTCGCAAACATGGTTACACATATGTAGAAGTCAGCCAACAAGATTTTGAATGCTAGCAAAAGTTATCAGAGTTTAGATAAATGATGAAAGAAACTATTCACTCAATGCTACTACTGCAAGAACTGAAATTAGTAATTTGACAAGGATGCTGTCGTACCGAGAGATAGCCCCAGATTCTGTCACAATGCTGGAATTCAAGCTGGAATCGAGACCATTGCTACTTGCATTAATCTCATTCAGCTGAATATATCCATCTTGGAATCGTGAAGACTCATCTTGAAGACCTAAGGATCCGTCGTCCAGGAAACGATACGAACCATCCTGAAGCGACGGAGTGAGCGGGCACTGGTAGTGTGCATCTTCTTCTACTGGACACGACTCATTGGGAGCAGAATCTCCTTCCCACTTGAAGTCGTTCAAAATAGGAGAATTTTCGGGACAGGCCGATGTTTCGGAATGGCTATGTGGAATTGTGTATGTGCCCAGCGTCGGCTGACCCGAACCATCGTACGACTTATACGCCTTCTGTAAATAATCAAAGTTCGGAAAGCGTTCATACGTGCAGTTCGTGCCTGCATCCGTGCAATCCTTCGGTGAGAAGTAGCCTAGTCCATAGTTCTGTGGTCCATACGTCTTGAACGGGTAGGAGGACGTGGACATTGAGTTAGCATTCTCTGTCGAGTACTCGAAGGCAACACCACCAGCGAAGTAATCGCTATACTCGGGCATGTTCATAAACACAGCATCGTGAAAAGTACGCTGTGCCTCGTATCCATTGATCGTAGGGAAGGAAATGCTTACACAACCAAATTCAGTAAGCACGACGGGAATTGAGTAATCGTAGCTTTTGAAGCTGTCGCGCAGCATATTAAAGCCCGTGGCTTTTGAGGGGTCCGATATATCGTCGCAGTGAACATACGTGTTGATGCCATACCATTGTGCATTTTCAAGCTCGTCTCCCTCGTCAGTGCGACAGTTGTAATACTGCGCATTCTCATCTCGGTTTGTGTCGGCTACAACGAGGCCAACGGGAATTTTCCGCAAGCTAGGACAAGCTTGAATAAAGGCACGCATGTCTCGGATAAATTTTTTCTGGCATGGTGCATTCCAGGTCCAGGGATTACCTCCAGTTCGATGGTTAATCTCATTGCCTCCGCTAAATGCCATTACATTGTCGTAGCGTGCAAACTGTTTGATAATCTTCTCTCCACGCATCTTATATGATGCTGGGTAGCACGCAGGCGCAGCATCAGGCGTGATTTCACAGCCCTCGCAGTTAGCTCCAAGGTCCACGATGACATAGATTCCTTTGGTTTGTAGCGCACACATAAATTCGGTGTGGTCAACGTCCGGATCGACGGCGTAAAGTCGGATAACATTAGCTTCAAGCGCCGCGAGATGTTGGAGGTCCCGCTTCCAAATATGCTTAAATTCACTAGAAAAGAGGTCGAGGTTGTTTTTGTCGAGAGGTCCGGTGTTGGGTCTGGGATAGTAATTAACACCTCGAATGGCAAAGTATTTTCCCGTGACGGTGTCAAAAAATCTATTGCCCTTAATGAGCAATGGGCCGGTGAAGCTATTGAAACCAACATCATTCGGCTCTATGGCTTGGCTACTGCTGCTTGAGCTTCCTTCAGCACTCACGCTTTCGTCGCTAGGTTCATCGAATGATGCCAGAGCGACTTCAGGAATTGCATTTTGCGGCTCTGAGTCAGGTAAGATGTAGAGCTCAGGAAGGCTTGGCAACTCTATATGTGATTCCACTTCAGATCTTGCATCAGTGTCAATGCTACCAACTGCAACAGTTGTAATGGTCGTCAACAGCCGGACGATTTTGATCATCAAAAATACTTTCTTACACGGCGTAGTTTTCTGGAAATTGGAAAATGATTTACTACTTGAAAACCCTTTTTCACCAAGACATCCGTTTTTCAAACCTTAATAAGTGAGATCACGAGATATCAGCTTGGGCGCCAATCTAACCGCACTTGCTACTGCCATCAGCAGTAAATGTTTGGACACGACGTATATACAGCAGCTTATAATTGCGATAGTACTCTGCGCGATAGGGTGGTTAGCACATCGCATGTGATAGCGCCTGAAGAGTCGGCGGTTCCGTCATATTAGGTAGGTACACTAAAGCGTTAAGCAATTCGAAAGTTCTCGTTACACTATCTGCACGACCAAACGGATGATGAACAACTCATTATTTGGAATTAAGCCACGGTGGGCAAGCAGGTCGAACGGTTTGAGATGCTTGACCCATACGCCGTAAGGAGTACCTTTAAGGCTACTAGACAAGGATGAGGTCCATAACGCTAATGCAAAAAGTTATCCGAATGAAAAGGGGTGACTAGAGGCCAGCCACGTAGTCACCACGACTGAAGAATGAGAAGTTCCACTATATTAGTGCTATACAAAGAGATAGGTGTGCACGTATAAAATGATGCTGCTCATCCTTAAAACAACTTTGCGGTCTGCATTTATATCTCGCCAGCGCTTCAATTCTATAGCAGGGAAAGCGCAAAAGAACCAAAGTATTTTGGACGTTTTTGTCATTCTGTCAAGAACTTAATGTAACGTACCCAATTATGGTGTGCATAAACATGACACAACTGGTTCATGATTACAGTTTGTTGTGATGAGAGTGCCTCACGCAATCCGCTTTATCGGTCATGTAATAAATTAGACAGGGTATAGTATAAAGATTTAACCAGTTTGACACAACAATCTAAGCAACTGGAACTACTAAGTACTAAAAAGACCTTCTTTTTGGCACCATAAGGGCAGCCGGTGGAATCAAATTATGCGTCCTAATACACAGTCTAACCCTCGTTTTAGCGAGGTACATAGCCTGTTATACTCGATAGTCCTTGTCATCTATCCGACCTCCAAGTCTAAAAACGAGTTGGAATCGGACATGTGTTCATGTATCAGTTTTCCGTACTACAAGACACGCTTACCAAGACACTGTCTCCGCTTGATCCCCACCGGGGTTAGCGCAACTGGTCACCTAAGGCCAAGTAGCGCTTACCACGTTCACTTGCTATCAGACACCTTTAGAATCGTCTCAACCAGATATCAGTGGAAACACATGCAGCTGTTATACCACTGTGAGCGCCAGACCTTTAGGCCGAACGACGACTCCCTTCATCGCTCAATTATGATGTATGAAGGATCGAGTACAAGGGTCGACCGACGTAGATCATGACAAAATGTCGAGCTACTGCAGACTCCGGGCGTCCTCCTAGGAAGCAATTGAGTTCTATTGTACCTCGAGGCGGTCGAGGTCAATATGATCCAGCCCCAAAGAGAGTCACTCTCTATAAATGAGGTGGGACAGATTCCTGGTTATCAAAGTATTTTGGAGCCAGGGGGGCTGATAGATTCAGAGGAGTCGTGCTGTTAGGATATGACTGCCAACTGTCGAAGATATGTTTTGGATAGTATATAAGAAGGGGTACGATGGAGTGCATCTTGCAACGGTGCATATGTGAAAGTGTCGAAGACAACATCATTCTGTTCTTTATGAAAGACACACGATAGCGCCCAAGATCGATAAGTAAGAAGGCCACCCTCAGGAATATTCCAGATCATTTTTATTCGATGTAAACGCAGAATCGCGACGTGTGTGTAAGCAGAAGATCTACCACGCTTGTTGCCTTTGATCTATGAGGTGTGTCATGTAATTGACCTGATTACTGGAAATGGCGTCTCACGCCAATGGCCCTTACCACAGAATAACTGTGTCGGAAGACTGAATAATTGAGCATGCTTCTTAGTTGCCTGGCGCATTCACCAAATTCATGGTCACTTACAACCTGTACATTGCTTATGGTCTGCGATCATGTATTCATTAGAGTCATAGATAATCTCATTGCGAAGAGTACTCCTGTCTAGATGCTCTAAGCGTGGCTAATTCTGCTCCAAAGATTGTCCATTTATCAGCGACGTCCGACTGTTTGAGGGTAAAGCTACTTAGACCACCGCACAGGCCATTTTCGAAGAAGTGATTGTCCATAGTCGCCCAGAGCATGGGAAGGCGATGTGGACACAGATTCCGAAGACATGCGCGTAATGTTATGCGCAATGATAGATATTCGCCAATGTAGAAAAGTCCGTTCAATACTGTCAGCTGACAATAAAAGAGGCAATCTTTGAAATTATGATGGAAATTCTATATGCGCCTCTTGTTCTGGACGAAGCGGGCATTTCACACTTTAGCCTTTCCCATAGACTTGTTTTTATCCAAGCAGATGCAGATGAGCATGAACGCTCATTGAGCAAAAGTTGAATCGGTTCTAGCATTTAATAAAAT